TCCCGTTCCTCAACAAAGGGGTTCCCATTCTTCACGTGATTCCCACACCGTTTCCCGACGTCTGGCATAAAGACACGGATAATCGCCAGAGTCTACACCACCCGACTATTCATAATTTATTGAAAATATTCAAATTATTTGTTGTCCAATATTTGCATTTAAATGTCATTTAATTATTTAATTTTATTTTTATAATATTTTATATTCTGTTTACGAATAAATCAATTATTTATTTTTATCAAAAAAAACTTTTTTTATTTGTCAAATGAAACGGACGTTTGTTGATGTCATTGAAATATTGATTAAATACAAGTCATTATTGGTAGAAAAATAAAATTATGCATCGTGGATTATGAATATTTTCCATTGGGTTAAATGTAAGTAATCTTATTAATCTTTGTTAACCACTTTTACCATGATGTAATTAATAATTATTAATTAATAAATAATTTATTACACTATTTACTGACTATTTGCATGTAATTATAATTACAATTACATGCAAATAGTTAGTAAATAGTGTAATGAATTACACAATATACTAATTACACAATAAAGCATGACATGTAATTGTCAATTACAGTAATTGCTAGCTGCTGAAATATAATATTTCAAAATGTTATATCAGTGATATAATATCACTTATACCTTTGAACCTAAGAATATCTGTGCGTCAAAAGTCTTAATTAAAAAAGTGTTTTGAAATTATTAATTTTTCAGATCACATGTTAAGTACGTGTAACATATGATTAATTTTATTGAGCAATTATAAGTATAAATTAATCTCTAGTTGAATGCAAAGAAAATTATAACATGTTTTATAACTTCTCGGGAATTAATTAAAAATAAGATAACTTTAAGTATGAAAACAACACTACTATACAGTACTGTACACTGAATACACTTTCCACTCAATGCACCTAAACTTTGGGTTCCAATAATTTCCTGATAATTGGTATCATATGTTTAATTTAACTTTATTTATACTAACTATTAAGTTATACAATATACTTTTGTTAGTACCCGAACATTAGATATGTCGTACTTGTTATTTCAGTATTTATCAACCATGGTCTCTATGAACATTGATATATTTGGGTAATTTCTTACAACAAGTTAGAACCGCATTCATTAAATACTGTTTAAATACGTTTATTTATTAAATTAGTGGTCCAAAGTAATATTTACAACATTAAATGTATTTGTGTTTTATATTGTTTATAAATTATTAATAGTAATGAGACTTTAATTTAAGTTAATTAAGTAAAATAAGACAAACTATTGCAAAATTCACATACAATTTGTATATTTACAAAGTAATATATAAGAATGGGAATAGAATAGGACACAAAAAAGTTGTGCCCATCCCTTGTAACCTGGAATCCAGTTTGGATTTGTATAATATAAATATTAAGTTAAATCAATTGTAAAACATTTGAATTTTACAAACAAAGAAACAGGAATTAATCATATTTCACCATAATAACACTTTTATAAAGACATAGTACATGCACATTTTGTAGTCTGTAGATTGTAGTCTAGTTTTTAAGATAAAAGTCATCAAATATAACATAATCTATTGCAAAATATGTTACAAATATGTTATATGTTATACACTATTGATAACACATTTAATAGCAGTTTCAAAGAAATAATAGAAATAATAAAATAAAGAAAAATCATGTGTTTTCATAACCGGAGAAAACATATTTGGAAATACAATAGTTTTTCACTCAAGTAATGCCATTCACTAGAATAACAATGTGATAATGTGTGTGCGATTTACTAGAAAATTAGTCATAACTTTGATGTCTTAAAATAAAATTTAAATTTATTAACAATAAATTCCATACAAAATCATTTAAATTTTTTAATATTTTGCATATAATTTGTATTTAAATCAATAAATGTAAATATAATTATTGATCTAAATATCTGCTATCGGTTTGGATTCTATTTGACAGTTGTTTAAATAACCGAATACAGTAATATTTGTGTACAGTATCAAGTACTTTGTGTACTTGATGTTGCAATTTTTGCCAAGATCATATTTCTATTCTATACTATTTATCATGTTTATAGAAATCAGCATAATCTTATTACTAAATAATATTTAAAATATGCATTTATAAGCAGTCAAATATGTCATATGACAAAAATTTAAAGTAAATTGTGGTTTAAATTACAAATTGATTGCTAAATAGTTGCCAAATACACAATATTATTATGTTACGTTATTCATTCATTATGTCACCATAATATTATTATGTTTTTCAATGAATGGTGTTTATTAAAGAATAAAATATTGCAATCCATTTGCTGTAACTATATTGTGATTCCCTATAAAACCCCACCGAAACCTTTAGCGGTGTTCAATGGGATGCAAAATAATGGACAAACAATTTTGCAAATTTTATATCCGAATTTAAGCATTCAGAATTCACGATTTCTAGCTAATATAAGTTATGCATAATCTGATACTTTATTAAATATAATTATCCAAGATTTTAATTACAGTCGGCTAAAAAGACCAAATATGCACTTAGATGCAAATTAAAAGTTGATTATTATGTCATTCGTTTCTCACAAAGTCCCAAAAATATATAACTAACCTGTACAGATATAAAATATAACCTGTTCAAATACTAACCTTTACATTTGCATGAAATTATATGCTTTACTTATTACTAATCCTCTAAATTCCTTTTGCAAAATCGTTTTAACAGAATGTGACAAAACTCATGATAACTGTTTAGAATTAGAAATCTATGTAATTGTAATCAAAATACATTTTGCTAATAACCATGTGCAGATAAAGTGAGCAGCGAGTATTTTATGTTCACTATTCGCTAGTACTGTAGGTATTCCCATTCTGATGCAGTAGAATTAGAAATCTATGTAATTGTAATCAAAATACATTTTGCTAATAACCATGTGCAGATAAAGTGAGCAGCGAGTATTTTATGTTCACTATTCGCTAGTACTGTAGGTATTCCCATTCTGATGCAGTTTTCATTATATTAAAAATAATTTGCACACCATTTATATCTACAATTGATTGGAAAATTTCTAATACAGTATTGATTGAGATTTTTATTGCTGAAAAACAAGCAATTTTAATATAGAAATTATAACAATTTAAACTCTTTTCAGTGATATTGTGAAATAGCTATCATGTTATTTTATGCTGTCTGCATAACCATATTATTAAAATTAATAAATTCTCTCTATTACATGTATTTTTGCTGTGTATCATTTAAATAGATTACCTATTACATCAAATCAACCAGGTAGCTTTTAAATGCCAATAAAAATACTTTGCCTTTCCTGTATTAAAAATGTGTGAACGTGATCGAAAACTACTAAATATTCACACATGTATAGTTCGTATATTATATTTCATTTCCTAATTATGACATTGAATTAAATTAAGTAATAAATAGTCAAATCGTTTAAATATTTTACGCCTTTATCTGTGAATTAAATATTCAATTTCCTCTATTGTATTGTATTTCAAATATTATTTATATTAAAAAACTTCGCAAAATTAATAATTAATTTATTATAATAATTATAATACAAAATATCTATAAAAGCAAAACAATTCGTTCAGTAATTTCTCAATTCTTCCCGATTTCTAAAGTATTCAAGAGATTCTGGATTCGCGATCGCATTCTTATTGGTCACCTCTTTGCCAGCGATTATCATTTTGACGGCCACTTCAATCTTCTTGCCATTGATTGTATACTAAAAAACCAAAATATATTATAAATACTTAAATACTTCAACATTTAATATGGCGTCACATTTCTTACGGGAATGTCTGGCACTTGAAGGATAAGACTCGGCACATGTCTCGGCGACAATCGATCTCTAATTAGAGTTTTGATTTTCGATACGATCTCTGAATTGAATTGATAACTATTTTTCATTTTCAAAAACAAGACAACCCTTTCTTCGTTGGCGTGATTATACTGCGAGACACAAACGCTGTCCTCTACTTCTTCTATCAAATCAATTATGCTATAAATCTCTGAACTCCCGAATCGGACACCATTTGGATTCAATGTGCCGTCACTTCTGCCCAACATTTGAATGCCATTTGTTTCACCGTTTATTATGCAAAAGTCTCCGTGAGTCCAAACACCTGACCAGAAAATATTTATTAAGTTTATCAGTATTTTGTTACTTAAAAGTTATTTTAAAAATATTACAGCATAATCGTACGTATGTTATACTGTATAAGACATCATTAAAACCGATATTGTTTTAAATCCGAATAGAATTATTAAAATTTCAAATACATTTGTTTTCAGCGTAAGGATTCATTACTAATGAAAAAAGACAATCTCGGGAAAATGTTTTTTACAGATAGTTGTGTTATTGAATTTAGTTATAATTCTCAATAACAATAGATATAATAGTGTTTTGTTGGTCATACAATTTTGGGCCAATTCGCTCAAATATTTCCCGAAAAAACTAGTCGTCTTGCGTAAAAATAGAAAACAATGAACCATGGGCAAAATACTTTGGACATATAATTTAGTACTATAATTGTACAGTGTTTGTCAAATATCATGTTAATAAATGATATGAATGGCTTGATATCAAAATATTTAATCATCATAATATTACATTATAATGTTATTAATCATTTAGTTTTGCCAATTATTTATTAAAACCAAGGATTCATTGTTAACATCCGTTTGTGAATCAACAGAATATGATTCTATATATCACTATAGGATTTCTAAAGCAATTAATGTGATTATCGGTGTTAATAATTGAATTAAAAACAGAGTCCATAACAGATGTGAACAACTAACTTATAAATCTAGAAAATAAACAAAACCTTTAAAGTGTGAAAAATATGCATTTCTGTATTTGTCTCCATTCGGATCGTTCCAAAACATTGTGGGCATCGATGGGAAGGGTTTAGTGCAAACCAACTCTCCCTTCTGGTCGTACATCGCTTTTCCTGTTATATTCAATGCGATTGTTAAACACAACGTAATGACAATATTTGCAAATTTAACAAAACCTGTTGAATCAAAGCACTGGACAGCCATTCCTAGATTCCTGGCCTGTATTTGCTCGGAATGCACGGCAATTGTCGGGTTTTGTCCCGCAAAACATGATATTATATCAGAGCCGCCGGATATAGAGCCGAGCAAAACATCTTTTTTGATACATTCGTAAACATAAACATAGGATTTATGACTTAAAGGAGCGCCGGTCGACAGAATCGTGTGAAGCCTTTCCAATTGATGCGATTCCTTTGGTTTGAGTCCCATGTCTTCAATGGTTTGGAGCCCTTTAGGACTTGTGCCGAGAATTGTTACACCGATTTTATCGATCACATCCCAAATAGCAGTTGGGGTCGGTTTAAATGGCGAGCCGTCTGTTTATTATTNTTTCCAATTGATGCGATTCCTTTGGTTTGAGTCCCATGTCTTCAATGGTTTGGAGCCCTTTAGGACTTGTGCCGAGAATTGTTACACCGATTTTATCGATCACATCCCAAATAGCAGTTGGGGTCGGTTTAAATGGCGAGCCGTCTGTTTATTATTAAAGATTAAGTTTAAAACAATTGCTTACACTAAAACATTTTAGTTTATAAAAGAATCTAACCGTAAACAACAATCGCAGCGCCTGTGGCCAGGGCTGAGACCATCCAATTCCACATCATCCAACCCGTCTTCATATATACATGTATATTATTTAGATTTATTGCTAAATCAATATTAATTCATTGCACTCACAGTCGTATAGAATAACATTATGTCTTTAGAATCCATATTCCCGTGCAATATATGTTCCTTCATGTGCTGTATTAAAGTTCCCTAAAATTGGTTTACATTTAAAATTAGTCAATAAACTAAAACTGTAATTATACTAATGGGGAAAAACTCACTCCAACGGAATGGACCAAACATTTGGGATCACCAGTGGTTCCCGAACTAAACAGAATACATAGCGGATGACTAAACGGGACATCGATGTAATCAATTGTTT